CAGAATGATGCTATCGCAGCTTGGTAATACATCAGGAGACATAAAACATAACAGAACGATGCTAACCTAACAGGAGTAATTAGAAAGAGTGATGCTATCGCCGCTTGGTAATACATCAGGAGATATAAACACATACCAACCAGGAGTAACAGAATGATGCTATCGCCGCTTGGTAATACATCAGGAGATATAACACATAACAACTAGGAGTAACAGAAATATGCTATCGCTGCTTGGTAATACATCAGGAGATATAACACATACCAACTAGGGAGTAACAGAATAGATGCTATCATCGCCGCTTGGTAATACATGAGGAGATATAAAACATAACAACTAGGAGTAACAGAATGATGCTATCGCTGCTTGGTAATACATCAGATATATAACACATACCAACTAGGAGTAACAGAATGATGCTATCGCTGCTTGGTAAATACATGAGGAGATATAACACATAACAACTAGGAGTAACATAGAATAGATGCTATCGCTGCTTGGTAATACATCAGGAGATATAACATACAATACCAACTAGGAGTAATAGAAAATGGATGCTATCGCTGCTTGGTAATACATCAGGAGATATAAAACATAACAACTAGGAGTAACAGAATGATGCTATCGCCATGCTTGGTAATACATCAGGAGATATAACACATACCAACTAGGAGTAACAGAATGATGCTATCGCTGCTTGGTAATACATCAGGAGATATAAAACATAAACAACTAGGAGTAACAGAATGATGCTATCGCCGTTTGGTAATACATCAGGAGATATAACACATAACAACTAGGAGTAACAGAATGATGCTATCGCTGCTTGGTAAAATACATCAGGAGATATAACACATACCAACTAGGAGTAATGTCAGAATGGATGCTATCGCTGTTTGGTAATACATCAGGAGATATAAAACATAACAACTAGGAGTAACATAGAATGATGCTATCGCTGCTTGGTAATACATCATCGGGAGATATAACACATACCAACTAGGAGTAACAAGAATGATGCTATCGCTGCTGCTTGGTAATACATCAGGAGATATAAAACATAACAACTAGGTAGTAACAGAATGATGCTATCGCTGCTTGGTAATACATCAGGAGATATAAAGTACATAACAACCAGGAGTAACAGAATGATGCTATCGCTGCTTGGTAATACATCAGGAGATATAAAACATAACAACTAGGAGTAACAGAATGATGCTATCGCTGCTTGGTAATACATCAGAGATATAAACACATAACAACTAGGAGTAACAGAATGGATGCTATCGCTGCTTGGTAATACATCAGGAGATATAAAACATACCAACTAGGAGTAACAGAATGGATGCTATCGCTGCTTGGTAATACATCAGGAGATATAAACATAAATAACTAGGAGTAATAGAATGATGCTATCAGCTGCTTGGTAATACATCAGGAGATATAACACATACCAACTAGGAGTAATAGAAACGATACTATCGCTGCTTGGTAATACATCAGGAGATATAACACATACCAACTAGGAGTAACAGAATGATGCTATCGCTGCTTGGTAATACATCAGGAGATATAACACATAACAACTAGGAGTAATAGAATGATGCTATCGCTGCTTGGTAATACATCAGGAGATATAACACATAACAACTAGGAGTAACAGAATGATGCTATCGCTGCTTGGTAATACATCAGGAGATATAAAAACATACCAACTAGGAGTAATAGAATGATGCTATCGCTGCTTGGTAATACATCAGGAGATATAACACATACCAACTAGGAGTAACAGAATGATGCTATCGCTGCTTGGTAATACATCAGGAGATATAACACATAACAACTAGGAGTAACAGAATGATGCTATCGCTGCTTGGTAAATACATCAGGAGATATAAACACATAAACAACTAGAAGTAACAGAATGATGCTATCGCTGCTTGGTAATACATCAGGAGATATAACACATACCAACTAGGAGTAACAGAATGATGCTATCGCTGCTTAGTAATACATCAGGAGATATAACACATACCAACTAGGGAGTAACAGAATGATGCTATCGCTGCTTGGTAATACATCAGGAGATATAACACATACCAACTAGGAGTAACAGAATGATGCTATCGCTGCTTGGTAGTAATACATCAGGAGATATAACACACATAACAACTAGGAGTAACAGAATGATGCTATCGCTGCTTGGTAATACATCAGGAGATATAACACATACCAACTAGGAGTAACAGAATGATGCTATCGCTGCTTAGTAATACATCAGGAGATATAACACATAACAACTAGGAGTAACAGAATGATGCTATCGCTGCTTGGTAATACATCAGGAGATATAACACATAACAACTAGGAGTAACAGAATGATGCTATCGCTGCTTGGTAATACATCAGGAGATATAACACATAACAACTAGAAGTAACAGAAAGGATGCTATCGCTGCTTGGTAATACATCAGGAGATATAACACATAACAACTAGGGTAACAGAATGATGCTATCGCTGCTTGGTAATACATCAGGAGATATAACACATAACAACTAGGAGTAACAGAATGATGCTATCGCTGCTTGGTAATACATCAGGAGATATAACACATAACAACTAGGAGAAACAGAATGATGCTATCGCTGCTTGGTAATACATCAGGAGATATAAACATAACAACTAGGGTAACAGAATGATGCTATCGCTGCTTGGTAATACATCAGGAGATATAAAACATAACAACTAGGAGTAACAGAATGATGCTATCGCTGCTTGGTAATACATCAGGAGATATAAAACACATAACAACTAGGAGTAACAGAATGATGCTATCGCTGCTTGGTAATACATCAGGAGATATAACACACATAACAACTAGGAGAAACAGAATGATGCTATCGCTGCTTAGTAATACATCAGGAGATATAAAACATAACAACTAGGAGTAACAGAATGATGCTATCGCTGCTTGGTAATACATCAGGAGATATAAAACATAACAACTAGGAGTAACAGAAAGGAAAAGACTCTTAAACTATTAGTTCACGGGGATCACCTAACACATTTAGACATTTAGAATGTACTTGATTATCTGAATAATGTATCGCTTTGCTGTGATCATCGTAATCATTGTCAATATAAACAATTCCAAAGAAGTGTAGGATTCAAGAATTTAGTCATCAAAATGCATATAAAATTATTGGTCCAGGATTGCTTTATTAGTGTAGGTACCTAATTATGTCGTCCAAGGAGTGGAAGTGTCATTTTTAATATAAGATCGGGATGATATTAATATAATATCTAACGAATAACTATGGCAATGGTGAAGATCATATCATGAACAAATTAAAACTCACAGCTCTGATAATTTTAAGATCAAGTCATGAAAAGAATAACACTCACAGCTCTGACAATGGTAAAAAGATCAAGTCATGAAATGATTAAAACACACACAGCTCTGACAATGGTTAAAGATCACGTCATGGAATGATTAAAACACACAGCTCTGATAATGGTCAAGGTCAAGCCATGAAATGATTAAAACACACACAGCTCTGACAATGGTCAAGATCAAGTCATGGAATGATTAAAACACACAGTTATGATAATGGTCAAGGTCAAGCCATGAAATGATTAAAACACACAGCTCTGACAATGGTCAAGATCACGTCATGGAATGATTAAAACACACAGCTATGATAATGGTCAAAGGTCAAGCCATGAAATGATTAAAACACACAGCTCTGATAATGGTCACGGTCAAGCCATGAAATGATTAAAACACACAGCTCTGACAATGGTCAAGATCAAGTCATGGAATGATTAAAACACACAGCTATGATAATGGTCAAAGGTCAAAGCCATGAAATGATTAAAACTCAAAGCTCTGAATAACTTACTGATACAGAGTCAGGAAACCTAGCTTCAATGGCTGCAGTAAACACTCATTTCAGGGAGTAATTGGACAAGTTATACCGTTTGGACTTAATTTGTTTTGGAAGATTAGTTCATGGAGTGCACGACGTAGTGAGTTCGTTCAGGTACTCAGTAAATGGTATTTCACTATCAAGTACCTTTGGTTGATATTCCACAAACATTGAAAAGAATCAGCTTTGTTCCAATATAAGATGTGCATGCAACGGAGGGTAAACAACGAAGCATTTTCTGTTATGCGTGAAGGGTAATAGAAGAAAGACGATGAGTGATAGTATTCAAATACATCACGTTAACACATCAACTTCCCTCAGGAGTGCAATCAGTACAAGCTACAGTTCAGTTCGGTGCAAACTGCCTCTAAGCAAGCCCTACATTACAAAGATTATCTCATAAATATTCATATATATGCAAATTGTGAAATTGAGCACGTGTTCACATTTTCCCGCCTTGCGTTATGCTGACATGCGCAGTGGGAACTTCGTTTAGAAAGACGTGTATATATGTTGCGGCAGTCAACCCACAAACACCAGTCAACAGCCATCGTTCAACATCACCACTGTTGAAAGGTAAAAATTCAAATATTTCATAGATATATTTTTTTTATGTAAAATTGAATATGCCCCTTGATGTAATTAATGGGATATAACTTTACTTAACATATGGGGGCATTGTCGTTACAAACTAGATAAAGAACAGTTACTTTGGTCCTGGGAACTCTGTCACCTTCCGTTTCCAGAGAATGTAATATTGTTTTATTATACCTGTAAATAGTTCTTTGACGACAATGTTCGACCAAAGATTAACGTGCAGTTTTGTTTCCCTGACTACTGGAAGTCAAATCTCGCAATATTTCAAAGTAAAAGTCCAGTAGTCCTCAACATTTGAAAATCTGCTATATTCTGCTACCTATATTTTTAAGCAGCGAAAACCTGAGCGCGAAGCCTGGTCTTTTTGTCTTTATAGTAATATTTCGGTCGGCAGCGTTGATACGCGCCATTTTCTCATCCCATACAAAGATCTTGGATGAATTTTGCGATATCGCTTGGGTCTTTTAAAAATCATAGGGTTTACTAGGTTTTGCACGTGAAAACAATAATTGCGGGTTTTGGTTGTGTTCCATGACAGTCGTTTATATTTGCTTTCGCTCACGCATGTTCTTTTAAACCATACCAACAACAATATTCCACCCTCAAAACATGTCTAATTTGACATATATGCGTACAAACTTTCAAATTTCATTTTGCGTTTCTCTTTTTTTGTTGTGAAGAGTGTATATTCTTTCTGCAGCCAAGATAGCAAAGCCTAGTCTTTCTGTCTGTGTGGAAACATTACGATTTCACAACAATGTTCACGGTCCTCTTTGGTCTCCTCGCCCTGTCGTGTCTCCCCCTGTCGGTGCTCGGTGCCCCTGAAGATGCTGACGCCCGTATGTACAGAGTGGACATCACCCTTCCACCGAAGGAAGGGAGGGACGAGAAGGCCGACATACTGGAGATAAAAACAACACTGGCGGGGCTTACTGACATCAAGGTTCTGTTTTCATTTAAGGTAAGTGAAGTCATTGTGTTATTGAACAGATACTGCCTAGCCTTAATGTGGATCTGGAGCCTATACTGAAAGAGATTTTGTATTGTTTGTTTAACAGTCAGCAATATGCGAGCTGTATGGCGGCGGCCTGTAAATAAACGAGTCTTGACCAGCCAATCCAGTGATTAACAAAGTGTGCGTCGATGTACGCAATTGACATACAACCATGTGTCAGCCAAGTCAGCGAGGCTGAAAAGCCGATTCCGCTAGTCGCCTCTTATGACAAGCATGGGTTCCTAAAGACCAATTCTAACCCGGATCTTCAAAGGAAATCTGAAAGAGATCATTGTAACGGCCAAAATCACATTACTTTTACATTAACAGCTGTGTTAGTGCTTTTTTCTTTAGCGGTATGCATTTTAACCTTTGAGTTTGGAGTAACCTGCCTTGAGCACGGACTTTTCAAATCTGGCAGCGCACATGGTCATTAGCACGACAAGTTTCGATGAGACAAGTTGAAAATGCCACCGCAAACAAACGGTAACTATTTTATCACCAATGTTTTCTTTGTTAATCTTTCATAAAAGTAGGGAAAGTTAGAAGTAAACTTCATTCATTTTAGCTTTCATTTTGTATTTGAACTGGACATGTGTTAGCATTGTTTTATGCTATTTTTCATAACAATTTATAGGCAATTACCGCAAACTTACAAATTATGTTTGTGTAATTTCAACTGTAATGTAGTGGTAGTGCTAGTTATATTTGGTGTGAATATTTTCAGTGAAGGAAACTTTGTTTTGCCTTTTTGTAAGAACTACCGTAAATGCCCTAAATATTTGCATCAATTTATTTTCTAAGAAATACATTTTATTTTGGGCTTTTCTTTGTTTATAAGTTGAAGACATTTTCCAAATAGCTTTGGCATAAGGCCATTGATATTTTATTTACAATATCTCATTGCATAAGGCAATTATGTTCTTTTCCTAATTGCATAAGGCAGTTGTAGGAATTATCATTCATTATTGTCTAAGGCTGTTTCAGGCTATGTTCTCATGTGACTGGATATAAACGCTTTTGTTTTATGACATACTATAAGTTACTATTATTGCTCATGTTAGTAATTAAGAATTTTGTTATGCTTTTCAGTCAATCTGAATCTGTAACAGTGAAACTGAACTGTAAGGATGCAAGGTTAAGAATGAAGAAGGAATGCAATAATAAAGAAAGAAAATCCACAAGAATAAAGAAATTATAACAAGAAACTGAGTTTGTGCACTCTAGAACATACAGCATTGACGTTTGAGGATGGCATCTGAGGATCATAAGGATCAGGGTGCGCAGGCTGTGGCCATGGACACAGAAATGGTAGATGATGTCATAAGTACAGGGACTAGTAAAAGTAGAAACCCACAAGTAAAGGACTTGCATATCAATTAGAAATCAAAGAAAAGAATGTACGCAAGATATGTCAAAGACTGTCAAGCCTACAAGCAGACATTATGTTTAATATCAAAGAAGAGAAAGAATATGAATGCGCGTCAGGCATGGTTATAAGGACTGGCTCATAGTATATGAAGAAGAATTTCTTGACTGTCAAGATCAGTATATCAAACTAGCCATACAAGGTGAAGCCACACAATTCATGATCACTTTAGATGCTTTGTCTGATACATTTCTCCAGTTCAAAATAGAAACCCAAGAATGGATCAGTAGTCAAGAAGATACAAGAAAGAAACTGAATAACTCACCTGAAAGAAACTCACGCTTTGCAGACAACGCCTCAAGATCAAGTCAGCGTGGTTCTACTTTAAGTCATTCGTCTGCGAGAATGGAGGAAGAACAGAGGAAAGCAGAAATCATGGCAAGGGCGGCTGCATTGGAGAGAAAAACAGGAACTAGATATGAAGAGACTGAAACTAAAGATGGAAGAAGAAAGACTAGAGCTAGACACGGAACTTGCTATCGCTGCTGCTAAAGTGAAGATTTTGGATGAATTTGAAGAGAAGAAACATTTTCCAAGTGTGAGAGGTGAGCGTTCTGTGCAACATGAAGCCGACCTTACGAAGCCAATGAAAGTGGACTCTAGTAAACGTGACGAAGTCTTACGTCAAGCAAGTAAAGATGTAAATCATGCAAATACAGTTGATGACCTCATTCTTACAGTAGTTAAGCAGATGAGAAAACCTCTTCCCCAAATCAAGTATTTTGGAGGTGACCCTTTGGAATTCGAAAGTTCATCCGTCAGTTCAGATCCAAGATTCTGGCAAACTCTGACAGCGCTGATGAAAACATGAATTATTTGGAACAATTTACTTGGGGTGAGGCAAATAAAATCGCTGAAGGGGTTTGGTTATCTAGATGCAGAAGTGGGCTATGTTGCAGCTATGAAGGAGTTAGAAGAGCGCTATGGTAATGAGCACACTGTAGTTAATGCCTTTGTACAGCGTGCGCTCGACTGGCCAATGATCAAGGCGGACAACCCAAAAGGACTTGACGACTTCTCCATATTCCTAAGTGAATGTCACAATGCAGTCCAGTGTGTGCCTGCTGTTAGTGTTCTCGATTACACAGAAAATATCAAGCGTCTTCTAGGAAAACTGCCATACCAATACCAAGAGAGATTTAGAAGTGTTGCACAGGCAGTGAAAGAAACAGGTCAAGAGGTCAGGTTCCGGCATCTGGTAGACTTTGTAAAGAAAGAGTCCAAGAAGGCCAATGACCCAATCTTTGGAAAAGAAGCACTAAGAAAAGACGTCAGAGATGATAGGTACAGGAAACGGCCACAACCAACCAAATCAAAGTATGCATTTGCAACTGAGGCTGATAAGGTGGACCATAGAAGGATGGTAAAGAGAACTAGTAACATGGACAAAAGTTACACGTCTTCCAAAACTCAAGAAAGAAGAAATGAAACTAAGCACAAGACATGTCTGTTCTGTAATTCATACAATCATACCATAGAGTGTTGTGAAAGAGATAGCGGCTACTCCCTACGCTGACAGATTGCAATTCTTAAAGGTAAATGGACTCTGCATCAAATGTTTGACAAGGGGACATATGAGTAGAGAGTGCAGCGCTAATGTTGTGTGTGGACATTGCAAGAATAGGCATCAAACATTTCTCCATATGAACCGCTCTGAATACGAAGACTGGAAACAGACAAAACCACATGTAAAGGTTTCAAGTGAAGACAAGAACATTGCCAGTGCATGTTCAGATTGCAGTCATGAGCTTGAGTGTGATAGTGAGATGGGAGCCAGGGAGATAGACTGTGCTATGGCAATTATTCCTATCATTGTAAGAAATAAGAACAGAGCTCAAGCCGTACAAACTTATGCATTTCTTGACCCGGGAAGCAGCGTTTCCTTTTGCACAGACAAGGTGATGCGTCAGATTGGTGCCTCGGGTAGAAGAATGAAGATAACCCTGGAAACTATGGGCACTAAACATTCCATGAAGACCTGTGCTATTGATGGTTTGGAAATTAGTGACCTTGATCAACAAAATGTTATTCCCATGCCAAGAGTATACACCAAAGACAAGATGCCAGTGACTAAAGATCATATCCCAAATGAGATGGACTTGTCTCGTTGGCCCGACCTGAACAGTATTACATTACAGCATTTGGAATCTGACATTGGTGTATTGATAGGAAACAATGTGCCAGACGCGTACACTCCTTTGGATATCAAGACAGGACCAAGTGGCAGTCCACATGCAGTGAAAACTAGACTAGGCTGGGTAATGTGGAATGTCATCAGACCTACTGATGGAAATCTCTACCAAGGAAATAGAACATGTTATGTCAACAGAGCTGAGGTGACTGCATTTCAAGAATTAGAGGACTCACAGAGCCTAGAGAAGATTGTAAGACAATCAATAGATTTTGATTTTCCTGAGTCATTGTCTGATGACAAGAAGCAGCCGTCAGTGGAAGACAAGAAATTCACAGAAAAGGTTGAAAAGTCAATTCGGCTACTTGATGGACATTATTACATAAATTTGCCATTCCGGAAGGATGCTATTTACTTCCCTGACAACAGCAGGATGGCGTTACAGCGTCTTGCAAGTCTTAAAAGAAAACTAGCTAAGAATGAGAAGTTTTATGAGGACTACAAAGTTTTCATGCAGAATCTCCTGGACAAGAACTATGCTGAAAAGATCCCAGACAATGAACTTGAATGTGAAGATGGAAAAGAGTGGTATATCCCCCACCATGCGGTCTACCACCCACACAAACAAGACAAGATACGAGTCGTCTTTGACTGTTCTGCAATCTGTAATGGAGTTTCACTCAACACTGAACTTCTGTCTGGACCGAATCTACTAAACGGTTTACTTGGAATATTGTTAAAGGTTCAGACAAGAAGAAGTAGCTGTTATGGCTGACATTGAAACAATGTACTACCAGGTTCGAGTACCACCAGAAGATTGTAACTTCATGCGGTTCTACTGGTGGCCAGATGGTGACATAACTAAGGACCCAGAAGCCTATCGAATGCTAGTTCACATGTTCGGCGCAATTTCCTCTCCAACATGCTCAAACATTGCTCTGCGACAAAGTGCCATAGACAATAAAGATGCGTACAATCCCAGTGTAACCAAGACAGTGATGAACGACTTCTATGTGGACGACTGTTTATCATCAGTACCAACAGTAAAGGAAGCAGTGTCTTTGATTGATGGAATCAGCGAGATGTGTGGTAGAGGTGGGTTTCACGTCACGAAGTGGACGAGCAATAGTCACGAAGTTCTGAGTCACATCCCACAAGATGAAAGAGCTAAAGGGATAAAAGAATTAGATCTGACAAGTGACCTACTTCCCTCCGAGAGAGCATTAGGGATCTACTGGTCGGTAGAAAATGACAAAATTGGATTCAAGATACAAGCAGGAGACAAATCCAATTACAAGAAGAGGATTGTTGTCTGTAACCAGTTCAGTGTACGACCCTCTCGGGTTAGCATCCCCTTTCATTCTGAAAGCCAAGATTCTTCAACAGGAGCTTTGTCAGCTAAAGTTAGGTTTGGGATGATCCTCTGCCAGAAAAGCACCAACTAGCTTGGGAAAAGTGGCTGCATGATTTACCATATCTTGAAAACATAAGCATTCCTCGATGCTACAAGCCTTCGAACTTTGGTAAAGTTATCCACTGTCAACTTCATATGTTTTCTGATGCCTCAGATGTTGGATATGGAATTGCAGCATATGTGCGTGTTACGAACTCTTTAAACCAAGTTTATTGCTGTTTGGTGATGTCAAAATCACGCGTCGCCCCATTGAAGAAAATTACAATTCCAAGAATGGAATTAACAGCAGCGTCGATCTCTGTCAAGTTGTACAAGTTCATAACAGCTGAACTGGAATATGAGGTGACTGATGTAATATTTTGGACTGACAGCATGGCAGTGTTGAAATATATAAAAATGAGAAATCAAGGTTTCAGACATTCGTCGCAAAACCGTGTTGCTGTGATACGAGATGGATCCAAAGCAAGCCAATGGAGATATGTTGAATCAAAGCTGAATCCAGCGGATGCAGCGTCTAGAGGTATGAACATTGATCAATTTCTATCTGCTGATTGCTGGTTTTATGGGCCAATGTTCTTGTACAAACCTCAACAGGAATGGCATCAAGTTGATGAGAATCTGCTACGTCTTGATGATGCCGACATCGAAGTAAAAGGGTTGTGAATGTGTCTCTCATGAGTGAGACAGATATCATGTCAAGACTCCTGAATTACTTTTCAAGCTGGACCAAGCTCAAGAGAATAGTAGCATGGATTGTCTTAGCTAAAGAAAATCTCAAACAAAAATCAAACGGACAATCAAGTCAGAAATACGTCCAGACAAGAAAAACTGAAGTAAAACAACTTCCTAATCTGTCTGTTGAAATGTTGGAAGATGCTGAAAATGCCTTGATCAGCTATGTTCAAAGAAAGCATTACAGTACAGAGCTTGAAACACTTCATTCTAAGAACCCAAAGATCAAGAAATCGAAGCACAGTGTATCGACTTGACCCTATTCTGGTACAAGGAGTGATCAGAGTTGGTGGTCGTCTACAAAGAGCAGACATTTCATTTGACTCCAAACACCCAGTGCTTATACCCAAAGACAACCTAATCTCAAAGCTGATTCTCATGGACATTCACAAGTTGGTAGGCCATCTCGGTAAGAACTCTATGCTGTGTGTCTTGCGACAAAAGTACTGGATTCCTGGAGCTGGAACGCTTATCAAGCAGATGGTGTCCAGATGTGTGGTGTGCCGCAAGTACAAGGCTAGCCAAATGAGTCAAAAGATGGCTGATCTACCAAGTGATCGACTGGTTCCAAACGAGCCCCCATTTTCTCGTACAGGTATGGACTATTTTGGACCTTTTTTCGTGAAGCGCTTTAGGACTGAAGTTAAGCGCTATGGCGTAATTTTCACATGTATGGCATCACGTGCTGTCCATTTGGAAGTAGCAAGCTCTCTGACAACAGATTCTTGTATCAACTGTTTACGTCGATTCATCGCCAGGAGGGGCAACCCTAAAGTGATATGGTCAGATAACGGCACGAATCTGATCGGATGTGAGAAAGAGATGCGTCAAGAGATAGACAGGTGGAATCAAGCCCATATTCACAAAGAGCTGTCACAAAGAAATATCGTCTGGATGTTTAACCCACCTTATGGATCTCACCATGGTGGCATTTGGGAGCGTTTGATAAGGAGTGTAAGGAAAGTGTTGAATGGTTTACTTCATCAACAAATACACAATCTTGATGATGACAGTCTATTCACATTGTTTTGTGAAGTGGAAGCCATACTAAACTCAAGACCGATAACCAGCTATCCAAGCAACCCAAGTGACTTATCTCCCCTTACACCAAATCACCTACTCCATCTCCATGGATGTGACAACAGGGCACCTGGTCTTTTCTCGCCAGACGACAACTACACAAAGCGGCGATGGAGACATGTGCAGTATCTTGCCGATGTATTTTGGCACAGGTGGATCAGAGAGTACTTACCCATGCTGCAGTTGCGACAAAAATGGACTCAGAAGAAAAGACATGTCGCTGTTGGCGATATAGTGCTGTTGATCGACAGCGCCCCTCGGAGCTCATGGAAAATGGGCAAAATCATTGAGGTTTTTCCAGATAAGAAGGGACTCATTCGGAGTGTAAAAGTCAGGACTTGCCTGTCTGAGCTTGTTAGACCTCTAGACAAACTCTGCATGCTGTTGGAGGCAGACACATAAGCAGAGACTATAAATGTTGAACGCTCTGCTTCGAACTGAACTATTGACAATATTGCTGACATTAGTGCATAATGTTTTATTGGTGTTTGAGAGCTAAGGTTTTCCATGGAACTTTTGTTTAAATTTTTGACATAATGTAATCTCAAATAAGATTGTATTTCATTGTTTCGTTTTGGTTTATTTGGCCATTAGAATTTTATAAGGATAGTTATCGTAAAATAAGTATTTTACAATTAGGGAGCCAGTATGTAACGGCCAAAATCACATTACTTTTACATTAACAGCTGTGTTAGTGCTTTTTTCTTTAGCGGTATGCATTTTAACCTTTGAGTTTGGAGTAACCTGCCTTGAGCACGGACTTTTCAAATCTGGCAGCGCACATGGTCATTAGCACGACAAGTTTCGATGAGACAAGTTGAAAATGCCACCGCAAACAAACGGTAACTATTTTATCACCAATGTTTTCTTTGTTAATCTTTCATAAAAGTAGGGAAAGTTAGAAGTAAACTTCATTCATTTTAGCTTTCATTTTGTATTTGAACTGGACATGTGTTAGCATTGTTTTATGCTATTTTTCATAACAATTTATAGGCAATTACCGCAAACTTACAAATTATGTTTGTGTAATTTCAACTGTAATGTAGTGGTAGTGCTAGTTATATTTGGTGTGAATATTTTCAGTGAAGGAAACTTTGTTTTGCCTTTTTTGTAAGAACTACCGTAAATGCCCTAAATATTTGCATCAATTTATTTTCTAAGAAATACATTTTATTTTGGGCTTTTCTTTGTTTATAAGTTGAAGACATTTTTCCAAATAGCTTTGGCATAAGGCCATTGATATTTTATTTACAATATCTCATTGCATAAGGCAATTATGTTCTTTTTCCTAATTGCATAAGGCAGTTGTAGGAATTATCATTCATTATTGTCTAAGGCTGTTTCAGGCTATGTTCTCATGTGACTGGATATAAACGCTTTTGTTTTTATGACATACTATAAGTTACTATTATTGCTCATGTTAGTAATTAAGAATTTTGTTATGCTTTTTCAGTCAATCTGAATCTGTAACAGTGAAACTGAACTGTAAGGATGCAAGGTTAAGAATGAAGAAGGAATGCAATAATAAAGAAAGAAAATCACAAGAATAAAGAAATTATAACAAGAAACTGAGTTTGTGCACTCTAGAACATACAATCATGTTCCTTTTTATCCTTTGTCCACACTTAGGCACCCGCAATATTGGCGATAATTCTGAGGAGGGTGATGCATTTTAGTTGCTTGTGCCATGCATACACCAGTGACAAGAAGCTGTGCACATGGTTTGAGCCTCCGACGTGAAAAAATTGGTAATAAGCGTGAAACGTGCATTGGAATACATGCACACATGCACACAACACACACACACACACACACACACACACACAGAGTGAGTGAAGCCCATTTCTTATGTCCCTCGCCGTGATATTGCTGGAGTTTTGCTAAAAGTGGCGTGAAACCAAACTCAGTCAGTCAGACACACACAGTGTGCAGACACTGACTCTGCCCCTCTTCTCGCTCTGTCTCTCACACTAACAAATTGATGTTTCTTTAACAGGAACTCGGGAACTCTGTGGTAATTCTTGGTAAGTTCAATTATGAACCTGTTTCTGTTTGATTCCTTCAGACACATGTGGTTTTAAAGGGGAAGTGTAACAGAATATAACTCCTGAAATGTTATGCCATTATGAGACCTTTATTTGGCAAACTAAAAGGCCAAAGTTACAAACCTTTGATTATAAAGGTGCCAATTCATTTAGTCTGGTCTTGTATTTAGTCCCAAAGCAAAAGACATTCAGAATGAAATTAATCTGATGAAAAAGTATGGACAAATACGAAAGAAGCATTCTAAGTGAAAATTCAAGCAGCAGTATAGATTGATCATGTGTATTTTATCTGACTATTTGTAATTATATTTTTAACTGTATCAGGGATTGACAACAGCAGCAACAACAACAAAAAATACCGTTGATTGCAATGATACGTTATATTTCTAAATTTGATATTTAAATTAAGACATACACTAAACTACACAAAACGCCGTGAATGGTGATTTAGTACTTTTTCAAACTGACGAAATGTACGATGTATGTAATTTTCAATAAATTTGTCCTCCCCTGCAATGAGGATATTTTAGAAGAGCGAATTTCAAGCAGAATTCAAAACTGTGCATTTATCGTCGTGATGTATTTGGATATGGTTTCGACATGAAAGTGATGACTGATCCAAGAGGAGGGTCACATATTGTACGTATAATGGAGCAACTAGCAAACCCAGAATCCCGGCACATTCACCGATAGCTAGCTAGATGAGGTGCACATACGTTTAATTTCGCTGTACGAAGATGCTGTAGGAAAGACGACCGACTCAGTTGAATGTTATACAATTTGTCAAACCGCAACATCATCAGAGTGTGGAAATGACAAGGCCAGCTGACAGCCGGGTAACACGAGGGTTAAACCACCACACACCTGTACCTACACCACGTGAAATTGGTCTAATAAGTTCTAATGACGTCATTGGTTTATCAGTATGGAACCATTGACGTCATATTGCAAGGGACGTAAGCCATGATGTGTTTATTGTGGGCATAGAACTCTCGGTAAATGTACGAAATAGAAATCAATATAATGCAAAAAATAAATTCATTACTTATGATGCCTGTACTGTTTTAGCTATGAAACTAATTAACAAACACATTTTATGCTGAAAAAGTGCAAGATAAAAAGGTTAATTTTCCTGTAAACTTGCCCTTTAACAGACAAATCTAATTGTTGCTCAACATATAATCGCCGAGTACTATATGTTACTGTATTACAAAACGAGGTAGCAATGCAAAATTAGCGCAGATTGTGTTATGTGTGTATGTTTTCTAGTTTACTATGTAATGAGAAAATACAGTATTTATCTTAAACAATGAAATTCAGTGTGATCTATTGCTTGAATTTCTGTCTGTTTAAATAAGACATTTTCAGAGCAGGAACCTGAAGGTCAGTAAGAAAGTACACGGTACTTTGACTTGAAACAACTACTACCTATTACTTGCAGTTCTACGTGTTGACAAAGCGTGCAGCTGGCCACAGTTGACGAGCTTTCTGGCACGCAGGGGCTATGAGGTCAAGGTGACCCCAGTGTATTACTGCAGTGACTTCGCCCAGGAACTTGGTCTGAACATGACCAGAGACTTTTATGATACGTCTCTGGAGGATGACGAGGACTTAATCATCGGCAAACAGATATTTCCTGTCAAGGGTAAGCCTGAAAGTTATACTCAGTTTATGTGTATGTAGTTATACGTCTATGGTTGGAGCTTCACTAAATGCACATGCAGCCTGATGTGATACCCCAACTGTTGAAATATCCCAAGATGCTGATATGGGATTTGGGTAAACACGGCAGTCATCCAAAGGAGTGTAGTATAAGTCCAAATTCACAAAAGAAGAACTGACATTCAGTTGCTTTGAAAATGATACATTAACACTACACCTGAAGGCACATCCTTTGAACGTGTTGTGAAATTAGCGTCTAAGACCTATTCCTGGAAACATGTCAAAACCTATTCCAGAAACATGTCAAACCTATTCCAGAAACATGTCAAACCTATTCAGAGGAACACGTACACACGGATTTTCTATACATTTGCAGTGCTATCCCAGAAACATGTTTTCGTTTAAATCATTCTTATATTCCAGATTTGACAACAACTCAGTATGATGATATGCTGAAAGAGATGTTTGAGAGAGAAATGAGCATCTTGAACGGAGGTCAACGGTCGGCATGTTTCAGAACTCTAGCAAGTCTTCCAGTTGAGGTAAAACCTTGCACGGTTCATTACTCCCATTCTTATGTTTCTAGGTTTGTGTTTGTGTTTCTGAATTCCCAATCGCCCTTCTCTTCCCTTCCACATCGAATACAGACACCGAACAAAGTAGAGTCAATACAAATGCCTGGCAAAGTGGAGTCAACGTTATGTTCATATTCATTGTCAAATCATGCATCCTTCTTCTTATTTAAATACTGAAGTCTATATGTCTTTAAAGCGTTGGTTCGTGCCTATAAAATAAGTCATATATTGTAATTTTGTAGCTTTTCGTATGTATGAGCAATGGAGGTTATTATTGACATCCATGTGATTTTATACCAGTTGATTGAATTGTTTTTCTAATGTGTCTAATGTGTTTAAATGGTTACATTGTGACCTTTTTAGAAACCAAAATCGAAGTTGTGTTTTGGCATTCAGTCTTATTTCGAAAGAGGATGTAGGGACCAATTGATTGAATTGTTTTGTCTAATGTGTCTAATGTGTTTAATGGCTACATCGTGACCTTTTAGAAACGAAAATCGAAGTTTTGTTTGTTTTTGAAGTTGTTTGTTTTGTTGTTGTTGGGTTGTTTTTTTTTTTGGTTTTGTTGTTTTGTTTTTTTTTTTTGGGGGCATTCAAGAAGATGTATGGACTAGTAGCCGTGGTATAAATGAAATGAAAGTGAAGTAAATTTCATCTCACTTACTCAGTTATTAACATGTCACATTCTATCCGTATGGCTAGAGACCTCTACACCTCTTTGAGTGGAAACATTGGTCATAATATAATACCAGTATGTGTCTCGTATGCTACAGCAAGCGAAGGTATTTTGTATATGATAAATACGCCAATATATTTTGATTATGTAATAGCACTGCTCGCAATTTATGAAACGAAAATTCCCTACTTTTGAACTGTTAGTCTACATCAGTTGACTAACGTTATTATAGCAGGTCTTCCATTTGAAGTAAACCTTGCACAGTTCATTACTCCCATTTTTGTGTTTCTAAGTTCTCCATCGCCACTGTCTACTCTTCCTCGGCCTCCCCTTTGACATTGCTATCGTTTAGAAACATTTGTTGAGGAGTTTTCGTATTAAGTATAATGTTGTAGCAAAATGCTTTGATAGAGTAATAGAATACCCAAAGGCCACGATCAAGTGAGGATAACACACGTTTGTTTCAGTCTGGAGGGTTAGTCTCATACAGTTTTGTTTTTCTTCAGTATCATTCCTATGCTCACGGGTTTGACCAAAGTCGTAATCATCAATTCAATCTGATCTACAATATTAAAGTATTGTCCAAAGGCAATCTCCCTTGCTATTGTTTGTTGAAGATACTGTGATGTTTATCGTTCCTGAGAACGTTTCATAACGACTTCATTCTCTGCCACCATTTCAGCTGATACACTTCGCTCCGGTTGGCCAAAAGAAAATGGAGGCTATAGCGGAAACTATGAATGCACCTGGTCACTTTGATCTTGAAATCCTTCGAATCCAGAAACTCGACCAGTACACTGGAGGTTGCGAGTAGAAAGATATAACTTCCGAATGCAGACATGTATGTTAAACTGAGAAAACAAAGATTAAATATAATAGTCATCCATCTGTTGTTCCACCATAAAAGCAGATGAATTAAAGGAATACACGTATGTCAAGTAAATAATATGTAGTCATCTTTCAGTGAATAAACTACAGCATTCCATGACTCCTCTTGTAAATCAATAAATGTAGTGTGACATTTGTGGTTACATTCTGTGACTGTGCACTGTATGCGAATAGCACATTTAATTGGAGAATGCTTTTACAAAGTTCCTGTTGAAAACCCCTTTTGTGTAAACAGGTAGAAGACATTCTCATATAACTCTGTAAGATCGAATTGAGAATACGAGATTGGCTGTCCAATAAGTCAGACTACTCTGTGTGACCAACTACAAGGATGGGATCTTCAGACGAACGCAGAGCTGGGGCTCCGTTCACGCAGAGCTGTTCACTACGTACTTGCCAACACAGTGCCAACTGTATGACTATTCCGATATGGAAAATATCGATCTTGGGTTTATTGTGTTACCTGCAGATGTCTGGATGTAGGCCACTATACCTGTTGACTGTAGTTCCTTATGATACCAACCACTGGTATTGACACACATAGAATATCAAAGTCCTATGAAAAAGAGTTTCATTCGAACGTAATGCGATAATCAGAAAAGAGAAAAAAGATGGAAGGAAAATGACAATTGGAGAACTGACTGGAGACGATTTCAATGCTTATCATTGTTAAGGTGCAGCGTTGTCTACATTGACAGACCCTCTGGGAAATGTGTCTGCATGACACTGCAGTCTGATAAAATAAAAGCTATTGCTATAATCTTTCTTTAACTTGTGGCGAGTTATTAAATGTTTCTTCAGCTGTACTTAGAGCCTAATAAGTCGATAATCAGAAAAGGCTTGATGCGGCACGATTACAGTTTTCGATGCGTCAGATAAATAGTGCAATATCTGTAACTGTAAATAAACAATCCGTTTTTTATTTTCCTTCATGTAAACACGATTTATCTAAAGGTCGTAAGATGACAACGTCCCAGTAATTCCATGGTTCGAGAAATATCCACAGCTCGACTACAACTTAATCACACACTGACCTTCATCGGGTAATGAACGGCAGCTGGCTTGGTAATGTCCATCTACGTGAGGCCACCCGCTACTATCTAAAATATAAAGATTGGCATTGTCTTTTTGGGCGTTTGTCACATAATGAAACCAGTACCTCACGTGAGCAAATTCCATGATGCGCGAAAAATTGACTGTTCCATAACCATACCCTACATCGACAAAGTTCGTCGGACAATGAACGACAGCAGCCGAGGTCACCCGCTACGGCCAATATTTAAAGATTGACGTTTTCATTTAAACAAAAGTTTATTCAATAAATGAATGGATCGGTAAAGGGGCATTACGCCTACATGAATAATTTTCCGATACAAAAGTAATGCATAATAGTAATGCAACGTTCATTTATCGACACTGGAAAACACACTTTGAACCTACAGTAATAAGTGAGTGAGTGAGTTTAGTTTTACACCGCACTCAGCAATATCCCAGCTATATGGCGGCAGTCTGTGAGTAATCGAGTCTGGACCAGACAATCCAGTGATCAACAGCATGAGCATCGATCAGCGCAATTGGGAACCGATGACATGTGTCAACCAAGTCAACGAAACCTGACCACCCGATCCCGTTAGTTGTCTTTTACGACAAGCATAATCGCCTTTTATGACAAGTATGGGTTGCTGAAGACCTATTCTATCCCGGATCTTCACGGGTCTACAGTAATAAGTAATAGTATGATATGAAATTAATATATACATTAGGGCTGCGCAATATAACCGGTTTACCGGTATTTACCGGTTCAGACGTGAGAACGATGCGTATTGCGATACGCTGATCGAAAACCGGTATTTTGACTTGCATTCGGAAAACTTCGTAACACTCGGAAATCTTCGGACATTTCCTTGTTTCGTTTGTGCCAAATATTATTCACATTTATATTTTATCATGATTAAAAGTTGTTATTAAAGCTTGATCAAGCATAGTGATTTTATTGTGTTTTTCCTCTATAAATCAAGCATTAACTGGATTATAAGTAGTTTTTGTTTAGAAATACTTCATGCAATATATTGCAATACATATCGCAATACATGCTTTCGCATCGCAATATATCGCAATATGAAAATTCTCTGCAATACCCACCCTTAATATACATGCTATACAAGGAAATATGCCAAAGAAACGTTTTGTCGGGGTAAAATAGTTGTGTACAAAGTTGACAATATGCTGATTAATTGTATCAGAAAATAAATAATTTCCATACAAAAGTGATTGTAGATCAAAGCCATTTTGATAGAAGAAACATCTTGATCGAACTTGGACATATTTCCCATTACAAGTGGAAATGTTTTGAAGGAAACGGTCAAATTTGTGGGCATATAGGTCACTACAGCCCAGACTTATCTTGCAGGGAATAATTGGATTGTGTCTTATACCGGTGTTTTTAATAGTATGATGCGCATTTCAAGGCAAGGTTCGATCAAAATGTTTCTTAAACAAGGTAACACTCACGCATGCATGACGGAATAAATTATTTTTATATGTTCGTGGAGACAAAGAGGATGTTTTTAAAAGAATGTTGGATGACCTAGATTCATATGTGGATACAGAGGATATATTTAATGGAATTAAATCTGATAGGTGTTTCGGCCTTTTTTTATAGAACATTTTAAGAAAACACTCATCTTGTAAAGCTTGCGTTGATCGCTTAATGATGAAAAAAAACAGTTTCAAGATCAAGTTTGGAATGACGTACTCCTCTTATAGATCCACATGCGTTTCCTAAGGCATTTAAATGAACTTTTTCTAATAAGAACTCTTATGCATTTGAACAATTATTCCAAATATAATCACAATAGTCAAATATTGGTAGAATAGATGAGTTATGCTGTGTTTGTAGGCTTTTTCTCTGAAGGCGATATTTGATTTTGATCCACTAATTACTGTATATTGTTTTCGATTATTCAAATAACTTTCAAACCATGATGAAAGGGAACCGCGTATTCCATTAGCCCATGATTTATACAAAGACCCTTGTGCTGTACCCTATCAAACGCTTTACTAATGTCGCAAAGACAGCACGTACATCCTTTCCACTATCCATTGCCTTAGCTATATAATCAAGTGAATGGGGTAGCTGGTATGATGTAAAACACCAGTCCTGAAACCTGATTGTATTGTGGTGATAGTTCCATTATCTAAAAAGAAATTTAATGCATGCTTGAAAGCATACTTCTCAAATACTTTTGACAAGCAACTAGCAACTGAGACAGTCGGTAATTAGTAAAATGATGCACGGCATTTTTCGTATGTATTGGTAATTGTGAAGTTGATAAAGAAACATTAAAAAGAGCACAAAGAGGAATCAGATAAACATTTCAGGACACGATTACTAAGATGATCTAGCCCAGTTGCTTTTGTGACATCAAGCGACAGTAAAATATGTCTTACTTCATCACTTTGTAAACTTATGTCATAGAGGCATTGGTTGACTTCCCTGTCAGAACAGTTATCTATTACGTCATCAGAAGCATTGCTAACCGTTGCCATGCTCACTAAGTTGTAGTTGAAAATATTAGCTTTGTCAATATCATCTTCATATACAACATGATTGTGTTCCATGTGTGGAAATGTCCAAGCTTTGTCAATATCATCTTCATATACAACATGATTGTGTTCCATGTGTGGAAATGTCCAAGCTTTGTCAATATCATCTTCATATATGTCCAAGCTTTGTCAATATCATCTTCATAACAACATGATTGTGTTCTATGTGTGGAAATGTCCAGGCTTTGTCAATATCATCTTCACATACAACATGATTGTGTTCTATGTGCGGAAATGTCCAAACTTTGTCAATATCATCTTCATATACAACATGATTGTACCCTTTCGACATCCAATAGTAATGACAGGCAGATAGATAGATAGATAGATAGATAGATAGATAGATAGATAGATAGATAGATAGATAGATAGATAGATAGATAGATAGATAGATAGATAGATAGATAGATAGACAGATGATCTTTATTTCCTGAAGGAAAAGATACAGCAGGTTGTAACATATGTTATACATGTACATATGTATATACAGGTTACAGAGTGTGACAATCGAAATTAGAACAGGTATTTTAGTTGATGCAGCCAGGGTTTATAGAGTTTATATTAGTTTTATACATTTAAACCATATTTCTTGTTCAAGCTCTTGAGCATTTACATTTGGTAGACCATAGAGCATAAATGAGACAAATAGGTTTTCGTCCTTCCATAAACTGACAAAAGTGTCAACATCAAGCATGTCAACTAGTGACTCAGTCAAAGGGTTTCTACTACTTTGTATGAGAGTACAGTGTAGAAATAGATGTTTTACAATATCATAGGCAACTATGTCACATTCACGCTCAAGAGACTGAATGCTAAGTGTGCTGATACGTAGAAGAACAGCAATATTATTGAAACATTCTGGCATTTTATAACATGCAGACCACAGTCTGTGAACATTTTTTAGGGTATCTTATGGCTTGATATCTTTCAAGGTTAAGTCTCAACCTCGCTACAGTAGCAACATATGAATCCTCAGCTTTAAGTATTCTTTCTTTAACCAGTACAGACCACTCAGCCTTCGTTAAGAAGGAAGATTGGTTTACATAGTTGTACAAATGCATATCTGGGTCATACATTGTTACAAGATTAAGCATGGCGATGACTTGCTATATCGCTCTTTCTCCACTGAAGTCTGTCTGTACTGACAAAGTCTATGCACAAACACTTTTCTTAAAGACAAATTCAGTATCGCTGTTACACAGTTTACCGAGAAATAACAAGGACTTCTGGTGCATATATCTTAATGTGACCAGGGCGAGACTGTCTCTGGTTATTGTGGATGATCCACGTTTAGAAAGGCCTTGGATTCTCTTACAAAACTGGTTTTGAACAGTTTCCAGCATATCATATTCCTTTTCAGGTAAACGGGCCCATACATTACAAGAGTACAAACCGCATGGCAGAATAGTTCTTTCCCAAATACGGACAGAACAAAGTGGGTTAAGGCCACCAAAACACAGGCCAT